ACCCCGGGGTAGTTTGGCTCGGCACATCCCTGACCCCATGACACCAGGCCGTGCACCTCTCCTTCACACACCAGAGGGCTGCCGGAGTCACCCTGGGGATGAAACAAAGAGTGTGTGAGCATGTGATTCTTCCACACACACACAGCTGAGAAGAAGTGACTGTAAGACTCACGTTGCATGCGTCTTTGCCTCCCTCCATGTATCCGGCACACACCATCCTGGAGGAGATCATGCCAGGATAGGCGTTCTCACAGACCTGCTGGTCCACTATGGGCACGTTCAAACACTGCAGGAGGGTGGGCATGTACACTGTAACACACACAACAGAGGACGTCATAGAAAACTCCTAAAAAAAACAATTTTTAAGGAAAAGGCTGTCAGATTTTTAAATGTAGTGAAGTAGAATTTTAAAGGTATCATGCTATTTTTAGGCAATAGCATAGGTCTCAGATATATACAAATATATAAAAAACATGTCTATGAAGTGTTTTGGTCAAAAAACCAAACAGATCACACATTCTAGCCATGCCTCATATCCCTCTATTTCTCCTCCTGTTCCAAAAGTGCTGATTCTGGGTATAAACAGGTCTCTCTTGAGAATGACACCCTGTGTCTCGATGAGATTTTCACCTGTATAAAATAAAAAATAAAAATGATTACAGGTTAGCTCTGAGTGTTAGCGATGCTAATGTAAACACCGACCATATTACGTCCAAAACAGTCGGGCGTTTTTTCTGATAGCAACGTCCGCCGCAGATATTACGTCATATCGGCCGCAAATCTGGATCAGCTCCAGAATCAGCCCGTTTTTAGAGATTTGGGTACGGAGGAAAAGAGAAAGGGTTTTATTTTCTGACGCTGCGTGAGTTCCCTGACACACCGGGGACACATCTTTATGTATAAAAGACATCAAAAAGTGCATTTTGCATGATAGATCCCCTTTCAAATAACATTTAAATGTAAAAAGTACTTCAAGATTGTACTTACGTACTTGAGTAAATGCACTTTTACACACGTTTAGTTTGAAGGTAACAGCTTGCAGGCAGATTACCTTAAATTAAATGTGCATTTGTTTTGGTTTGTTGCTATAATAATAAAAATACTGTACGTTGTGTATAAAACCATCATATTTGTAAACTCCCACGTTGATAAGAGTATTAAAAACTTCCCTTAGGCCTATACTGTAGGTACTTTTAAAACAGATTAAAAAAATTGCAATTAGTCGCAAGTTAATTATGGAAGTAATTTGATTAATCGCATTTAAATATTTGTAATTGATCCCAATAAATATAACCTATATAACAGGTCAGAAATATATACCATATCAGGAAGCTGAAGTTGTTTGTTTTTTTGTACACGTAACACAATCAAGAATACATTTATTGGGGACTATTTTGTGTTGTTGATTGATACACATCTAGCTCTATTAGTATCAGTTGGATGATGTATGTAGAGGGATCTAAAAATCTATAAAGCACAATGTGGTTCAGTGAAGTTTCTGGAAAACAACGGAGGTCAATCACTGTGGTATCTTACCTTGTTATTATTACATGTTATTGCATTTGTCCAGCAGGGGGAAAACTCACTCTTGGTATTAAAAGAGCCTGTTGTACATGTTCCCACGAGGAAGTCCCGGCAGATGTTACCAAAGTAAAACCAGTTAAACCTACTCCTATGATGTTGAAATACAATTATTGATCACAAGATACAACAATGACGCACAAGAAAGGCTTTATCAGACTTTGACTTGTTTTTTTGTTTTTAACAATAAATTCACTGCTGCGTTTGAGCTTTTCATGGACTTTTTGACAGTGAGAAAGAAATACAGACTCTTGCCAGACTCAGTTAAGCTTAAAAGGTCAACTTTGACACCCAGTGGAGGATTGAATGGAAAGAAAAACACTGTTAACCCTTGCTGTCCAGCTTTGACCTGGGGAAATCAATGGTTTGAATGGTTCACTCTGTTCACTGGGATGGTCTCATTAAAGCTCCCCTATTATACTGTTTTCCATCAATATATTACAGGTCTCAGATATATACAAAACATGTCTCTGAAGTTTTTGGCTGGAAATACACAACAGATCATTGCAGCATCCCATAATCCCCTCTGTTTCAGCCCTGTTTCAAAAGTGCTGATTCTCTGTCTGTTACTTTAGATGAAAATAAGGAGCCACTCCCCACGCCCCTCTGAGAGACATTTGGTTACAAAGAACACAATGGTGCTCTAGGAGGAGATTCAGGTGATAAGGGGGGGGGGGGTTACCTTGGTTGGTGATTGGCTAATGGTTACACAAGCCAAACAAATCGGCTGTAAAGCGTCTTTGAGCACCTGAAAAAGCGCTTTGAAATTAAATGTATTATTATTATAAAGTGGCCAAAATCTGATCAGCTCATTTTCAGACAGGTTTTTATATAAATGGATCAGGACAACAAGTGAGAGAATATTTTTTCCTGAAACTTTCAGAATCTCTTTACACAGACATGTTGATATAGAAAATACATGAACAAGTGGATTTTGCATAATAGGTGACCTTTAAGTCTGTTGTTAAGCTGTACAATACAACACATAATAATCAACCCACCCTCTCCTCCAAGCTTGGTGTTACCCCAGCCGGACACAGAGCAGGAAAGCCCCCCATAGGGACACCCTGTGGGCAACGGGATGGGGGCGACCGCCTCCGTCACCTCCACTGGATGGTACAGCTTGATCAACATGATGTCGAAATCCAGAGTCTGGTAGTCATAGCTGCATACAGAAAATACAAAACACGCTTTAGACACCAGCTGTTCCTCTGCACTGACCGGATGAATGGCTCAGATGCGATTTAGGGTATTCAAAGAGAAGAAGGGGGGGATTTTTAAATGTTTCCCTCACCTAGGATGCCAGATGATGGTGTTGGTCTTCATGAGCTGCTCTGTTCCCTCAAACACTCGCAAGTTGTGATCGCCCAGAATGATCTGCATGGAATAGGGACTGAGAGAGGAGGTCCAATGTTATAGAAATATGTGGAAGCAGTGAAAGCGTTCAATATTCTGTTCTTTCATATCTTAACTTATATCATAACTTCATCTCTCAATTTTCCAAAGACTACACTATATTTTTGTTCATAAAGAAAAGGAATGCATACATGTCGAGCAAAATAAGCTATACAAAAAATTGGTTTCACATCAACATGTACAATATGTGAAAGTAATATTTTTCCCATCAATGTTTACTTACTTGTACCAACAGTGGGCCACAGAGAGCACCCACTGGTTGTTGATCAGCACCCCTCCACAGAAGTGGTACCCGTAGTTGAGGGAGGCCATGTATGGACGAGAGTGAGGCGAACACTCATCACCGCCAATGATCCTGCCATCTTCACGGGGAACTGCAGCTGTTACACACACACACACACACACACACACACACACACACACACACACACACACACACACACACACACACACACACACACACACACACACACACACACACACACACACACACACACACACACACACACACACACACACACACAAACAGAGAAAGAGATACATTTGTGTTTTAAAGTTATCTTCAACCACAACCATTCATCTTATTTCTTAAATATCTTACACTACAGTATGTTTTCTATGTACTGTTTACTGTTTGTGTGTGTATCTTTGTGAATGTGTGTATTACTGTGTATTTACCAGCAGCTCCGATCAGCAGCAGCAGAGCCAGCAGTGTCATGGTGTCAGGTGAATGCTCAGAAGACACCTCCACACACACCTCGGCTCAAATTTATATCCCAGCAGCCCCGCTGTGCTCGTCCCATCCCCTCACCTCACCTGACCGCCCCCCCCGTCTCCTCCTCTCCTTTCCTCTCCTCCCTATTTCTCTGGACCCTATCTGTTTCCTCACAGTCTTGGCACTCACTTTCAACCCAAATACACTTTCTTATCACACTCCTCATTTTGTGTTTGCCCACTTCGGCCCAATCGTAGCGCAACACTCTGTGGTTATATCATCTGTGCCCCTTATTTAAAATGTGGACCAAGGTCTCCAAACATGAAACACCTGCTTTTAGTTCCTCATGGGTCACTCATTTTTGGCAGGCTACAATATCAAACAGTGAAAACTGTTATATAACCGTCTTTTAGCTCTTGGCCCATATAGCAGGAACAAATATGTCCTTGGGTAAAAGCCAGAGAGGTGAGAAATAAATCATCTGTTGTCGCTGAAACCTAAAACAACCTGTTTTTCTGTTTCTGTGTCAGACAGCATCAACAACACCCTTTAAGCTTAAACATTTTGTGCTTTTGTAGATCCACGTTGTTGAGCTGTAAATTGTAATGCACATGCAATGATGGTAACTGGACAGACTGAATATGGAAAAACAGACACATATTGTTGAAATTGCCCCAACAGTATAACCTCAGGCTGTTTATCATCTGTTTTGCAAAGGCATTTATTTTTGACCATTTTCAGAATGCTAATGCACTTCTTTAGGCCTTCACTAAAATAAGGGGAAGCATTTGGAGGTGTTGTTATTTATCATGCAATGGTTTTACTCGTCAAGGCCACAAAATAAAATTGCGATGAATGTGGCACGTGAACAAAAAAGTGTTTAACAATGCTGATCTCTGCTCTTATGTTCCACCATTATGAAATAAATATTACACACCACCTACACAAAAATAGCCCCATTTATATAGGAGGTAGGTGCAGAAAATGATCTGTCAAAAATAGAGTATGGAAAGCAGCAGTCTGCAAGGCCAAAACTATGCAAGATGTGGCTCACTTATTAACTGAACAGATGAACGTGGCACATAAGAAGATACGGTTATTTTTCAGGGATTTGGGTGGGAGGAAAAACCAGGGGGGGAGGTGGGTAGAATTGGGTGGAGGTATGGAGGAGTGGAGTAGGAGGGAGATTATTGACAGATGCAGAGGAGTTTAGGTATAAATTGAGTGAGTGACAGATCTTTCACCTCCAGTCTGGTCGCAGGAAGGCTTGAGTAATGATAATTGGCCTGATTGTTCTCGCACTCCTGGGCGCTGCAGGTAAAGCACATCTGCACAACCATTTTAGAATAAGTAAGACTATTCACTTTGATAAATATATGGATTATTGTTATTGCTTAACACCACAGCTGCAGCACCTATGGATGACAAGATTGTGGGTGGATTCCAGTGTACAGCCCACTCTCAGCCCTGGCAGGTGTCTATCAATCTCGGCTACCACTTCTGCGGCGGCTCCCTCATCAACGACCAGTGGATCGTCTCTGCTGCCCACTGCTGGCAAAAGTCGGTGTTGTCAGAATCAGACATCCTTTATTCGTCCCACAGCGGGGAGATGTACAGTGTTAGGGCAAAGGGACTGTGCAGACAAAAGGCAAACATAGGATTAGTAGAGTAACATATTAAATAGAGAGGCGTTAATAAAAGGATATCAAATGAGTAAACATCCATGGAACAAAAATACGTAGCAGCATTATAAAAAAGTAATAGTAGTAAATAGGTAGCAGCAATGGACAACATTTATAGTGTGTAAAATGTAAAAAGAGTGTATATTGCACATAGCACAATCATCCCTTTAACAGTAGTGAAATAGTCTGAGGTAGTGAGGTGGCGTACAATAGTAAATATTGCATATAAGTGTTATTGCAGAGCAGTGTGTTAGAGTCCGTATAATTGAGTGACTGTACAGTCTGACCGTTGCAGGAAGTATTTATATTAACATATACACATTTGTTTGTATGTTCTGTGTGTTAAAGAAACTATGCTAATGTTGTTCTGTGTGTCTTCTGGGCTAAAGCCCTTACTCACTGATTGCCATTTTGGGTGACAACCACATCTGGATGAACGAGGGCACGGAGCAGTTCATGTCCGTGGACGCCATCTACTGGCATCAGAGCTACGACTACCAGACCCTGGACTACGACATCATGCTGATGAAGCTGGCGCACCCCGTCACCGTGAACCAGTACGTGAAGCCCGTCGCTCTGCCCAAAGCCTGCCCTGCAGCCGGGGACATGTGCATGGTGTCCGGATGGGGAAACATCTACACTGATCAAGGTGAGGTGTGCCTGATCGTCCCATTAAAGGTCATCAATATGTCATGGTACAATCATTTTCATTCTTTTGTGATCCTATTGTTTGTCTTTGCTGTGGTTGACATTACTAGAAGAAAAAAAAAGGGTAAAATATTGCACTCATGGCCTTCCATTGATTTAATACGTATTATAAGAAAAAAGCCTTTAACAAACCATTAAGTATTAATAAACAGTAGTTTCTGAACTGCTGTTATTAACTAAAACGTACTTAAAGTGGACTTCCTCACCTGCAACCAACAACCATATCTACTGTCACAAAAAACTCTCAAACTTTTATGAAATAGAAAATATATCAGGCACAAAGACACGATGAAAAAAGATAACAGTTGGCAATCATCTAATGCTTAAGATTGTCTCATAAGAATGTATTTGAGAGCAAACGTGATGTATACAGTTTGCTTGATGGCAAACAGAATATTGTAGCTCACCCTATGATGAGAGGAAACATTAAAGCACATTTCCCTACCGTTCAAAAGGATTCGACAAGCTTTTATAATGGCTGCTGGATCCTTTCCCTCAGTTAGGAACCATCCTAAAAAGCGAGTGAAGCCAGTATAATGTTGGCAATGCACTTGATGGCTACATACTGCATGAAATTACTATATATTCAAAATCCAAAGCCAAACATGTCATAGCTAGTTATGGTTACTGTAGTATGATAGCACTTATTTAAATCTAATAGATGGTGATGTTGGCCATTACGGTACACATATTTACAGAAAACATGTAATTTGATAAACCAAGCTGGAAAAAAGTGATGCTATATACAGTACAATCAATAAATGCATGTTTCTGATAGTCTGGAGTCACTAATACCACGGTGCATTTTAACACATGATATAAGGCTGAATTGGGGTGTTTTTTGTGTCCCTCCTAATCATTTTGTCTCGCTCTTATCTGCAGTGTTCAACCCATTTTACCTCCAGTGTGTGGAAATCCCCATCCTTTCTCACAAGGACTGCGATGGCTCCTACCCCGGCATGATCACTGACCGCATGGTGTGCGCTGGATACCTGGAGGGAGGAAAGGATTCTTGTCAGGTATTTTCAAACAATTACACAGCACATACAATGAGGTTATATTGAATGAGGTGGAGGGAATAAAGTGATGTCTCTCTCCTGCTCAGGGTGACTCTGGTGGTCCTCTGGTGTGTAACGGAGAGCTGCAGGGTGTCGTGTCCTGGGGCCAGGGCTGCGCTCAACCCAACTACCCGGGCGTTTACACCAAAGTCTGCTCTCTGACGCCCTGGATCAACGATATTCTCTCCACATACTCCTAGGCTGTGATCTCCCATCACAGAACTAAAGGAGTGGGGAAATCAGAGGGAGATTGAAATTGAAGGAGACAGGAGGCGGCGGTGGGAAGTGTCGAAGAGAGAGGCAGCGGAAGAGAGGCTGAGAGTGAGACACAAGGAGAAGCCGAGGGAGAAAGAAAACAACATGTGAGATGTGAGATGTCAAGGCTCAATCAATAAAACATTGAACATTTTTTGATGCAACAGTGTGTTTCTTATTGTCTATCTGCTCCCAGTGTAGATATACTGTTTTATGAGTACTGGATTTCAATTCAGGGGTGACATTTCCAACAAAAAACAATATATAAACCACAGTCAAACAAGAGCAGCTAATGTCAATAAACAGAAACCTTTCACAAAATTGCATTAGCTTGAGGGCAAATGAAGTGGCAACCCTTGGTTTTGAAAAGATAAGCTAACAAAAGTATATTACAGTTTTTCTCGATTGCTAACACACATTTATTTTTTAATTGCTCAGTTTCTCAGAACACTAAACACAATTCACAAAACTACACACCCAAAGTGCACAATTCCTCATTTCTCCTGCTAAATGAAGAACTGCACTCAAAACTACATAAACACTTTCCAAATGCAAACTTTTGCACCAAATATAACACACTTCATTCATAATACTAGATGGTCTGACCACCCAACTACACACTGCTGAGCATACTCTAAAGCACTTTCATCTGTTATGGGCTATGCTCTGTACATAGAGGTTTCTGAAATGTCGACCTACGTCCCGTTCAAATGAAATCGCCACCATTCATATTTCCACGCTCGCGCCAGGGCCAGGGGAGGGGTTACAAGACTCGCGTCTTGTGCTGCATTCACTTGCATTCGGACATTAGAAATGTTCTCTCATAAATGTCCGATGAGCCACAACTTTTCTTTCAAAACAAAGCGGGGGAGTTAATTCAAAACTGTTGAGTAAAATGTTTTACACGAACTATGGAGAAATGTCACCAACATTTAAAAAAACATTATTAATAAATAAATTGCCTACATTTAGGGTGGCAACTAGGGTGGCAAGGCATTTTTCTGAGGTGGCAGCTGCCACCCCGTACCACCCCGCAGAACCGCCACTGGTCGGTTGGTCAGTTGGTCAGTTGGTCAGTTGGTCAGTTGGTCAGTTGGTCAGTTGGTCAGTTGGTCGGTTGATCGGTTGGTCGGTCGATCAGATGGAGTCAGTTGGAGTCAGATGGCCGTGTCTCAATTCAGGCGCTGCATCCTTCCGAGGACCCAGCCTACGCAGTCGACGCAGGATGCGGCCGACGTAGACCGCGTAGGCTGGAGCGAGCGGCCTGCAAAATGAGACAGTCTACGTCTTTACGTCACCAGCCCCTATATTTTGCCGCCTATGTTGCCTAGCAACCAGTTATTTTGAAGACAGAATTATTTTGAAGTTCTTTTGAAGACAGAAAGGATGGAGAATGAACTTGCCAGAGAAGTGACTTTGCTGCTATTAATTATGTTCATGGAACATGTGGTTCAAAGAACAAAGTACAGGCGAGTACTGTACTTTAGATTAAGAGGAGACCATTTCCAGGTAAGAAAAATATAGCTTAAACCCTGTAATTTATTGTTAATATTGGCTTCAGAAAACTATAGTCAAGTATGCTAACTGTAGTTCCATTTCATTTTGACATTTAATACATGTTTAAAATGCCATTAATAAGATTCATAATGTGGAATAACCTCAGCTATATAATATATTATATATAATGTGGAACTAATCCACTAAAATACATGATTGGTCCCATCTCACCATGTTCAAATCACATATCACTGCTTTATTGTCAATAAAGTTGTGTTTTATGTATTTAAAGTGGGTTGGTTTAATGATGTCTTGTGAATTTTGACTCTTTAAAGTGTTGAGTGTGTTAAAACGCTTTACAAATAATATGTATTATTTTAGATATAACATATTATATACACTGACGAATAAGCAATTTACACAGAATTCTCTATTGCCCTTTTTCCTCCACCTTTTCTTATAGCCAAGACCCCTGTACTGCAGGATGAATCTGACCGTCCCTGTCCTGGACAGGTTCTTTCATGACCAGGACACACGGCCAGACAGGAGGTCTGATGGAGGGCCTCTATCCTAATACCTCATCCATTTGGACAAACCATGGCCTAGATGCAGCGGTGGGTTTCCCACTGACTCCCTCTCCTGACCCTGGGTACTTGCAATCCTAAGGCAGAGTAAAACAATCATGGCAGTAAAAGAACAGCAGCAGCTAAACTAATATCGGCAAATGTGTTTATTAATTTGACACACACACACACACACACACACACACACACACACACACACACACACACACACACACACACACACACATACGTTATACTTCTTAAGGTTGTCCCACTTTTTCTTCGCTTGCAAGGGAGTCACCTTCCCCTGCAGGCCCATTTCTTCCAAAATCTTCCTACTCACAGAAATAATAGAAGAAGAAATGAACTATTATGAATAACAATAACTCAAAAATGCTAAATTTGGAAAAACTGACATTGCAAGACACACACAAATAATTAATAAAATATTGAATTAATGCTCAAAAGGCTGAGACATCACTAGAGAAAAATACAATGAAGAAACATTGGGTATTGCTGCATTTAGTTGTTGTTTTCTTGGGAGGGGTTTTTATAAAATGAGGGATAATTGATAAGAGTAGGAATGATACAATTGGTATATTGTGCCTTACCTCCATCCAAGGATGGCCGTATTTTTGGCCCCTGTGAAGAGGGTGTCATTTCCCCCCCTCAGCTTTATAAAGAGCTCCGTCTGTTCTTTGCTCCCTAAAACAAAAAGCAATTGTAAGCAGATGAAAAGCTATACCTTTGGGTTTAATTTTTGTGTCGTTAAGTATTTGAGTGGGATGAAACACTTTACTCACATTTCAAAACAAAATCACGCTACTGCCTCGGTTGGGACGGTTGACGCAATTTTCTGAAAAAACGTCACAAGCGCACATTATATCCTGGGATATGCTAGGCCGCGGAGGATTCATCAGATGTATCCTTCAAATTGGGGAAAAGTAGGCCGCATTTGTGGGCCACATTCGGAGGACTCTCGTCTTTTTTTAAAATTGGGACACCCTTCTTTCGGCAGAAGTGACGTATGTGGTCTACAAATGCAGCCTCCGAAGGATGCAGGCCCTGAATTGAGACACGGCCATGGAGTCAGGTGGAGTCAGATGGAGTCAGATGGAGTCAGGTGGAGTCAGGTGGAGTCAGTTGGAGTCAGATGGAGTCAGATGGAGTCAGTTGGAGTCAGTTGGAGTGTCTGTAGTTTCAGGTAGCTTTGGTCTCCAGGAAACAGAGGATGAAGAAGAGGAAGACGGTCCTGATGAAGACTGAGATCAGAGTTCAGGTGGAGAGGGGCGGAGTCAGACGCTCCTTCAGAGGAGCCCTGCACAGGTGAGAGGAGACTTCAGTACCAACGATGGACAAACAATAACGGGATGTGAACGTGTGAAGTCACCATGAGCTCTGGTTGTACATGCATCTGATATTTGTCTTCAGCTATAGTCAAAATCTATTAATCTCTGTTAATGCTTTAATAGTTTATTTAACGTAAAAGCAGTGCCACAACACAGCTCTATTTCATCACGTTCTCAAGTTAAGAACTGTGTTTTTTATTTAAATCTGCCACCGTTTACTGACAGACTATAAAACATTTAAATATTCACAACATAATTAAAAGTATACATTATCATGTTCATAATTAATATAAATATTTAAATATTTAAAAACATGCATCATGAATAATAGAAATAGAAGAATGAATACATGAATGAACGTGAAACAAAGAATAAATATAAGTTCAGATTTTTTCTGTTACAGACGGACATCCCGCGGCAAAACAGAAGCCGAGAAGGGGACTCGGGCGGACGGCCCGGGGGAACAGCAGAAGCCGAGAAGGGGGACTCGGGTGAACGGCCCGGGGGCAAGGCAGAGTTCGTGGTGGGGGTCTCAGGCGGACGGCCCGGGGGCAAGGCAGAAGCCGAGAAGGGGGACTCGGGCGGACGGCCCGAGGGAAAGGCAGAGTCCATGGTGGGGGTCTCGGGCGGACGGCCCGGGGGCAAGGCAGAGTCCATGGTGGGGGTCTCGGGCGGACAGTCCGGGGTCAAGGCAGAGTTCAAAAAGGGGCGAAGGCCACAGCGGGCGAACTCAGGGGGCCGGGCATGAGAGCGAAGGCAGCGGCTGGAAGAGTCAGGGGGCCGGGGCGGCTCGAGGGCGAAGACCGCGGCACTCAGGGGGCCGGGCTCGAGGATGGGCAGGAGCAGGTGGAACCCCTAGCGGGTCAGACGTAGACGAGACCCTGGACGGAACCTGGGCTGGTGTCAGTGGGACCCACGACGGAGCAAGGGCTGGTGTCGATGGGACCCGAAACAGGACAGGACACGGTGTTGGCAGGAAACCCGGCGGAGCAGGCGTCAACGGAACCCCCAACAGAACAGGACATGGAGTTGGCAGGACCCCCGGCAGAAGAGTAGTCGGCGGGGCCTCTAACGGCACAGGCCAAGGGTTGGCAGGACCCCCGGCAGAAGAGCAGTCGGCGGGACCCCCAACGGGACAGGGCATAGGGTTGGCAGGACCCCCAGCAGAACCTCCAACGGCACAGGACATAGGGTTGGCAGAACCCCCGGCAGAAGAGTTGTCGGCGGGAACCCCAACGGGACAGGACATAGGGTTGGCAGGACCCCCGGCAGAAGAGTAGTCGGCGGGACCCCCAACGGGACAGGACATAGGGTTGGCAGGACCCCCAGTGGAACCTCCAACGGCATAGGACATAGGGTTGGCAGGACCCCCGGCAGAAGAGTAGTCGGCGGGGCCTCCAACGGCACAGGACACAGGGTTGGCAGGACCTCCGGCAGAAGAGAAGTCGGCGGGACCCCCAACGGGACAGGACATAGTGTTGGCAGGACCCCCGGCAGAAGAGTAGTCGGCGGGAGAGCCAGTACTGGAGCCGAAACCATGGCTGCTGGGTCATTCCAATGGCTGGCATGTATGTCACGTGATCTTCACATTTCTCCCTGCAGAAAAAAAAAACATGGCCGAACTTCGTTTTATTCTCGGTGTAAAATGCCTATTTCATAGTTAGTTTGGCCATTAAAATAAGTTTTGATGTCATTTGATACGAGAAATATGAGTTGTTATTTCAGATTATGTGTGCAGTGGATGTACATGATCTTTAGTTTGCTAGTTATTACGAAGATTACTTCAGGAAATTGTGTCGATACAACGTTTTCATTGTTACCAAGGTGGTTGCTAGGGACGCTGCTATCGATATTATTTCTGTTATGTTGTGTAACAGTTTAATGGTGTAATCTTTATTGCTACCCCCTTCCCCGTCAATGTATAGTGTTGGTCCACAGCGCAAACGTATTAGTTTAACAAAATCCGCATCTAAAATGGTGGCATAGATAGGCCTACGTTATTTTCCCCTGTGCAATTCCAGTCTCACATCTCACATCACATCGTCATAAACAAATACCGGAAACAGACCGAAAACACTTTATTCCGAGTGTGTTTGTTTTCTCTTTGGAGGTCATCACATAACGGCATTGTAATACACGGTTCGGCTGCATTAAATATTACATATCTGCCGTAGTTCTCTATTTATAGAGCCCTGATGAGAAGAATTCTAGACAAACATGAGGAACTCTCACCAACACTGAAAACGTGACATGGATCATAAATATATCAGCCATTAAACAACATCTTACATTTCTTTTCACACAATACGTCTCCTTGCAGTATCAACACTAATTCGGCTGACTTTTATATTTGATCCAATTGGTAGATAGGCTGTATTTACACCATAAAGGTGCACAGCTGATAGAAAGGGACACCTAGTGGTTAAAGCATGTTATTGAATTTCATCATTTTTATTATTAGATCTTAATAGGATCCCTAACGTATTATTCATTACTCGTTATTCTCTACTAATAGTTAATTAAAGACTGTATATAATGACTATTTTGCACATCCCTTTCAAGATTTCAAGATTTTCTAAGGTTTATTGACATATCATATCATACACAAACGGTGTAGTTATGCAATGAATGAAAAACTTTGTGTATACCTCCAGCAATGTTAACTATGTTGAAGCACTTATTTTAACTGATATTATACATATGTATTATACTCTTATATAAGATGTATGTAGATAGTATAAGAAATGTGCAGAATACGACGGTTTAATGATGGAGGTACACACATATTGATAGATGTCTTGTAATGCACTGTTGAGGAACCTGCGAGCAAAGTTTTTCATCTCCGGCCTTGTCAGGTATTGAACAATCAATAAATAAAGAACACAGAATTATTAAATATAAAACACAGAATTTGTGTGATTATACTAAATGATTTACTGTACAAATAAACACCACTGCATATTTACAACTGTTACACATGCTGATGTAACGCAAATGTTTCCAACTTGGGATCAATAAAGTATATCTTATCTTAAGATGATCGATGGCTACTGCCATATTTGCAAAATGTGCCTCTGAACCTTGACAAGTGCATATTTCAGGCTCATCAATTAACAACAGGAGGGGTCACAGACATAAGACCAGCTGTTAAATAAAGCCCTTCTGACCTAAGCTGTCATGTGGGTATTTATTGATGCTGCCCATTATGGGCACAAGCAATTTTCACCCATGTATTAATTATATGTTTTACATTTGAGTGTTTCCTATCCCCTAAACCTCCAGGGATGTACACAGTTTAATACGGGCCACTTCTTATTATGGGAAATACGAAAACGTCTTCCAGTAGAGGAGTGCCATAGAGCATGTTGCGAAACACAATAGCCAGCATGTGTAGTTCTGGGGACGGGGTGGAGGAGGGGGGTACGGGGTGGACCCGTTCAAATCCAGTTTTGGACAGTCTGCCGTGGTTCCATCCCATTTCAAGTGCTGTTCGACGCTCGGCACACTCTCCAATCACAGAGCTTGACGACTATCACAGGGTTTGTCAAGCGAAGCGGAGAGAATACTTACTTCCGGGTGTAATATTCTGTAAAGCAAATGAGCTGCTCCGACCCTCGGTCCTGACGGACTCCAACTTGTGTTTATTAATCAAACAAATAAATAAACACAAGGATAATTATGTGTTATTGTTGAGTAAATGGAGAATTGAACAGGGGAAAATAACGTATATGCCACAATTTTAGATGCGGATTTTGTTAAACTAATACGTTTGCGCTGTGGACCAACACTATACATTGACGGGGAAGGCGGTAGCAATAAAGATAACACCATTAAACAGTTACACAACATAACAGAAATAATATCGATAGCAGCATCCCTAGCAACCACCTTGGTGACAATAAAAATGTTGTATCGACACAATTTCCTGAAGTAATCTTCGTAATAACTAGCAAACTAAAGATCATGTGCATCCACTGCACACATAATCTGAAATAACAACTCATATTTCTCGCATCAAATGATATCAAAACGCATTTTAATGGCCAAACTAACTTTAAAATAGGCATTTTACACCGAGAATAAAACGAAGTTTGGCCATGTTTTTTTTTTCTGCAGGGAGAAATTTGAAGATCACGTGACATAGACGCCAGCCATTGGAATGAATGGTGAAAAAAAAACGTAGGGATCTTACAATTTCAGAGGCGTTTTTGTAGAAATACTACGTTATACGTTGTGGACCAATGTAGTTATTACACGTTTTTTTGTGAGACTGGGTTGGTGAGCCAGGAAATGGAGCACGGAAGCATGGCTGTGTGGGCCGGTACTGGTGCACGGATCCATGACTTTGTGGGCCGGTTCTGGAGCCTGAACCATGGCTGCTGGGGCCAGAACTGGGGCTGGAACCATGGTTGCTGGGGCTGGAACCATGGCTGTTGGGGCCGGAACTATGGCTGTTGGGGCCAGAACTGGGGCCGGAACCATGGCTGCTGGGACCAGAACTGGGGCTGGAACCATGGCTGCTGGGGCCAGAACTGGGGCTGGAACCATGGCTGCTGGGGCCTGTACTGGAGCCCAAAGCATGGCTTCTGGGGCTCGGGCTGCTAGCCTGGACTTGCGACTCCTTCTCTTAGGAGCCTTTTGGAAGCTCCGTGGACCTCCAAAAGCCAGACGAGTACCCGAGAACGGCTCCTGGACAGGAGCAGGACATGGGGATAAAGCAGGGGTTGACTCCAGACGGAACACACCGAGACGTATGGTGTCAGGTTGGAAATTGGGAGGCAGGGGGCGAGCATGCCGGGAATCACATGTCGAAAGGAAGTCCAAAATCCAGTCAGGTAAGAACTAAACTAAGCATGGTTTCTCATTAGCCATCTGGTGCGCCTCTGCCAGAGCAGCCTCTCTCTGCTGAACACCGGACGCTCCCCTCCACCTATCAGAGCAGCAAGCCAAAGAAAATGAAAAACTTAATAATTCCAGCTCAAATGGATCTGCTGGGCCCATCCTTGGTTAGATCCTTCTGTCAGGGTTGAGTGAAGCAGGCAGGACCCAAATGCAGATTTAACCGAAAATACCTTTATTTCAAGGCTAAATGAAACAAACAGAACTCTTCCCTGTGAACACAGTCAAACAACAACAAGGATCTAACAAAGACAGACAGAAAAATAATATAATAATAATAATTAGTTTCTCCTCCATCTTTTTTTGAAATATAGAAATGAACGGCGGGATATCTCTCCCAGCTTAGACGCGGTTTGATTTGCTACGGCTTGAGCTGTCAGATTTCCCGAAACGGGATTTGATTGGCTGGCGCTGGCTACTCCGGCGTCAGAAGTTGAACATTCAACTTCTGACGCCGGAGTAGGCGGAGACGGACCGCTATGCTACCCACAATTCAGTTCGGCGAAAAAGCGAGGCAACGTGACGTCACCCCATTCAAAGTGATTGGGCAGATTGAAGCTGTCGACGCTGTCGACGCTGTACTGTGGACGGGCTGTAACAGCTAAGGTATTACCTGTCTGATGTTTCAAGATAATAAAGTGTGGAGTTCTATACTGAACACCCCGCCTCCGACTCCCATTCATTGGCTCTACACTATTGCCATTTATGTGGTGGCAAAGTAAAAAAGAAAAGAAAAAAGATAACAATTAAGGACAAGTGTGTGCTTTTTCAGCTTTTGACCTCGGTCGCAGCCTTCTCTCCATTCTTTGAGCAAATGCCTTCTTCCACTTCAGTCACTTCTCTCCTCCATCACAGCGTTGTGGCTGTGCATATCACTGTTGCGTGGCTGGCGGAACCTGCGCTTGTGCTCGATTGATGACTGTCTTCCTCCTCATTCACTTTCGCTGGTAATATTCTCCTCTGTACCTCTCTCACAACATCATTCAGCTTTCTTCTTTCTTTAGCTTGCTTGCAACGTTTGTTAATCGTTCGTGGGTAGTATAGTCGTTATAGAGTGCCACAGTCAGGGCCGCCTTAATGCACGGGCTGACCTGGGCTGAAGCCCAGGGGCCTACGGAGATCGGGGGCCTATCATGAGCCAATAAAAAAAAAGTTTTTTATTTCGGATGTTTTTTAAAAAATTTAATAAAACAAAGTCTTGGCTTTCAGAATATGAAACTTTTATTTCCAAAATCACACGATAAATACATTTGTGAAGCTTGCAAAGGGAAGATGACAGCTCTCCCTCGCCACTCTGCTGTTCTGCTGTTCCCTTCCCTCCGCTGAAATTATGAATGTAAGGCGTATAGTAATCATAGATAACACGGCAGGGTCCGTTACAGTTTGTTTTCATCTGATTTCAAATAAACAAAGTCTTGGCTTTCAGAATATTAAACTTGTTTCGGCAAATTCAGATGATAAATACAACTTTGAAGCTTGTAACGGCATTATTACAAGCGGAGAACGGAGTAACTTGACGTCACAGCAGGCATAACAACAGCCGGGGTTTTCAAGATTTTCAAGAAAATTTTTTTTTCAAAAATACACAAACACACACGTATACTATACACACAGTATGAGCTTCCCCCAGACCAGTAATCCAAACGAAAATATCTTCCCTCCGTAGTATTTTGATCATTTGCTCCGCTAATCAATCAGATCGATGGATTCCAGAGATTTTTCTCAAAGATGATGACTCCGAAACAGTCAGTGGGCACCACTTAACAGCCAATCAGAATGAGAATATGTTTCACATGTGACGTAATCAAATTGCGACTGATTGAGTGACAGATGAAGGTTGTTTAGGAGAAAAAGTTTGAGAAGAAAAAGTTTGAGAGTGGCGCTCGGAAAAGGAAATTGTTGAGGGAAAAGGAGTTTCGAGACAAGCAGCTATTACATTACATGTCACTTGTTAGACGCTTTTATCCAAAGCGACTTACATACTAAATACTGTGGACAATACCCACAGGATCAATTTGGGGTGAAGTGTCTTGCCCAGGGACACAACGACATGCTGACTGCAGTGGGGTTTGAACCTCTGATCCCAACACCAAGGCTCTATCCACTGCGCCACACGCCTCCTATTACAAAACATGCCAAAGCTTACAGGTTATTTTAAACCTGTAGGCCAGGATGAGGAGGAAGGACAGATGAGTTCTGTACGTCACTCATCTGGAGGAGAGGACCAGGCGCGCGTAGAGCAGAGTGGAGAAGTGCGATCACAGAGCCTGCCGAGGCTATAAATGACTTTGATTTGTTGTTTAAATAGGGGGCCTACAAAAACTATCAGCCCCAGGGCCTGATGGCAGGTTAAGGTGGGCTTGGCCACAGTGACGCATCCTAAAAAGTAAGCTTCTTCCGGTTCCCTCGACAAGAAAGTAATGCAATTTCTCCATAGGATTTTGGAAAATAGCTCGAAATAAGGTCTGTGGTTGACACACAGATCACGTTTTGTTCAGTCGGATAATCTCCACATCTCTACCCTACTTTTATAATGTTCTAATCATAAATCTAATGGATAGATTTATGATTCGAAAAATTCCGGGGTTTAGGACGCGTCACTGTGGCACTCTATTAGCAACGCCAGAAATACATTTTTAAAATCTAAAAACAACAATAACCTATTAGAACTTATTTAAACCACAGTTTCAATTATCTCAAGTTTATTTTCATTCCTTCATTTATTTTGTAATTAATGTTATTCAATCAAGCCTCAAACTGATGGCACTTTTCCCTATAGCCTGTTTTAAATTGAAGTTGTCTGAGGTCCTTACCACCAGCTGCTCTCGCAGAAACAAGTATTGTACCTTACTGTCCCAAATGTGCACAATGTAGGGACTGCTTTTCGTCTTTTTGTTTACTTAGTTGTGTTCTCTGTATTTTATATGTCTGTGTTATGTGTAAGAACGTGTAACGTTGCCGCCTTCTTGGCCAGGTCAGCATTGAAAATGAGATTTTGTCTCATTGTTTTCATCTGGTTAAATAAAGCTTAAATAAAATGTAAAAAATTAAATAAAAAATGATTTTGTATATGTCAGATTCCTCCGCTTACCACTAGCGGGAGCTGGCGTACCACCAGTGGAACCACTGCTCTACTGTATATCAAAGCAATATAGCACCATCAGACTGTCTTAAATGGTATTAAATCAAATACATAAACCTATACCTAACACAGACTTGAGCATATAAGTGATTGGTGTATGTTTTCACATTATGAACAGACAAGTGAATAGCAAGTGATTTTATTTAGTTTTCAACATTCTGGCACATGTGTGTTAAGAGTCTTGATTGGCACCAGAGAGAAGACAGAACAATAAAAACCAGGGCTGTGAACCAGTTGGAGAAGTGAAGAAAATAAAGTGGTCATTTATTTAGAGATTGGCTGCCTGGACCTCTTCAAACCAGGAGTGGAACTCACACAGTTTGACGTAGACCCCGGGGTAGTTTGGCTCGGCACATCCCTGACCCCATGACACCAGGCCGTGCACCTCTCCCTCACACACCAGAGGGCTGCCGGAGTCACCCTGGGGATGAAACAAAGAGTGTGTGAGCATGTGATTCTTCCACACACACACAGCTGAGAAGAAGTGACTGTAAGACTCACGTTGCATGCGTCTTTGCCTCCCTCCATGTATCCGGCACACACCATCCTGGAGGAGATCATGCCGGGATAGGCGTTCTCACAGACCTGCTGGTCCACTATGGGCACGTTCAAACACTGCAGGAGGGTGGGCATGTACACTGTAACACACACAACAGAGGACGTCATAGAAAACTCCTAAAAAAAACAATTTTTAAGGAAAAGGCTGTCAGATTTTTAAATGTAGTGAAGTAGAATTTTAAAGGTATCATGCTATTTTTAGGCAATAGCATAGGTCTCAGATATATACAAATATATAAAAAACATGTCTATGAAGGTGTTTTGGTCAAAAAACCAAACAGATCACACATTCTAGCCATGCCTCATATCCCTCTATTTCTCCTCCTGTTCCAAAAGTGCTGATTCTGGGTATAAACAGGTCTCTCTTGAGAATGACACCCTGTGTCTCGATGAGATTTTCACCTGTATAAAATAAAAAATAAAAATGATTACAGGTTAGCTCTGAGTGTTAGCGATGCTAATGTAAACACCGACCATATTACGTCCAAAACAGTCGGGCGTTTTTTCTGATAGCAACGTCCGCCGCAGATATTACGTCATATCGGCCGCAAATCTGGATCAGCTCCAGAATCAGCCCGTTTTTAGAGATTTGGGTACGGAGGAAAAGAGAAAGGGTTTTATTTTCTGACGCTGCGTGAGTTCCCTGACACACCGGGGACACATCTTTATGTATAAAAGACATCAAAAAGTGCATTTTGCATGATAGGTCCCCTTTCAAATAACATTTAAATGTAAAAAGTACTTCAAGATTGTACTTACGTACTTGAGTAAATGCACTTTTACACACGTTTAGTTTGAAGGTAACAGCTTGCAGGCAGATTACCTTAAATTAAATGTGCATTTGTTTTGGTTTGTTGCTATAATAATAAAAATACTGTACGTTGTGTATAAAACCATCATATTTGTAAACTCCCATGTTGATAAGAGTATTAAAAACTTCCCTTAGGCCTATACTGTAGGTACTTTTAAAACAGATTTAAAAAATTGCAATTAGTCGCAAGTTCATTATGGAAGTAATTTGATTAATCGCATTTAAATATTTGTAATTGATCCCAATAAATATAACCTATATAACAGGTCAGAAATATATACCATATCAGGAAGCTGAAGTTGTTTGTTTTTTTGTACACGTAACACAATCAAGAATACATTTATTGGGGACTATTTTGTGTTGTTGATTGATACACATCTGGCTCTATTAGTATCAGTTGGATGATGTATGTAGAGGGATCTAAAAATCTATAAAGCACAATGTGGTTCAGTGAAGTTTCTGGAAAACAACGGAGGTCAATGACTGTGGTATCTTACCTTGTTATTATTACATATTATTGCATTTGTCCAGCAGGGGGCAAACTCACTCTTGGTATTAAAAGAGCCTGTTGTACATGTTCCCACGACGAAGTCCCGGCAGATGTTACCAAAGTAAAACCAGTTAAACCTACTCCTATGATGTTGAAATACAATTATTGATCACAAGATACAACAATGACGCACAAGAAAGGCTTTATCAGACTTTGACTTGTTTTTTTGTTTTTAACAATAAATTCACTGCTGCGTTTGAGCTTTTCATGGACTTTTTGACAGTGAGAAAGAAATACAGACTCTTGCCAGACTCAGTTAAGCTTAAAAGGTCAACTTTGACACCCCCAGTGGAGGATTGAATGGAAAGAAAAACACTGTTAACCCTTGCTGTCCAGCTTTGACCTGGGGAAATCAATGGTTTGAATGGTTCACTCTGTTCACTGGGATGGTCTCATTAAAGCTCCCCTATTATACTGTTTTCCATCAATATATTACAGGTCTCAGATATATACAAAACATGTCTCTGAAGTTTTTGGCTGGAAATACACAACAGATCATTGCAGCATCCCATAATCCCCTCTGTTTCAGCCCTGTTTCAAAAGTGCTGATTCTCTGTCTGTTACTTTAGATGAAAATAAGGAGCCCCTCCCCACGCCCCTCTGAGAGACATTTGGTTACAAAGAACACAATGGTGCTCTAGGAGGAGATTCAGGTGATAAGGGGGGGGGGTGGGGTTACCTTGGTTGGTGATTGGCTAATGGTTACACAAGCCAAACAAATCGGCTGTAAAGCGTCTTTGAGCACCTGAAAAAGCGCTTTGAAATTAAATGTATTATTATTATAAAGTGGCCAAAATCTGATCAGCTCATTTTCAGACAGGTTTTTATATAAATGGATCAGGACAACAAGTGAGAGAATCTTTTTTCCTGAAACTTTCAGAATCTCTTTACACAGACATGTTGATATAGAAAATACATGAACAAGTGGATTTTGCATAATAGGTGACCTTTAAGTCTGTTGTTAAGCTGTACAATACAACACATAATAATCAACCCACCCTCTCCTCCAAGCTTGGTGTTACCCCAGCCGGACACAGAGCAGGAAAGCCCCCCATAGGGACACCCTGTGGGCAACGGGATGGGGGCGACCGCCTCCGTCACCTCCACTGGATGGTACAGCTTGATCAACATGATGTCGAAATCCAGAGTCTGGTAGTCATAGCTGCATACAGAAAATACAAAACACGCTTTAGACACCAGCTGTTCCTCTGCACTGACCGGATGAATGGCTCAGATGCGATTTAGGGTATTCAAAGAGAAGAAGGGGGGGATTTTTAAATGTTTCCCTCACCTAGGATGCCAGATGATGGTGTTGGTCTTCATGAGCTGCTCTGTTCCCTCAAACACTCGCAAGTTGTGATCGCCCAGAATGATCTGCATGGAATAGGGACTGAGAGAGGAGGTCCAATGTTATAGAAATATGTGGAAGCAGTGAAAGCGTTCAATATTCTGTTCTTTCATATCTTAACTTATATCATAACTTCATCTCTCAATTTTCCAAAGACTACACTATATTTTTGTTCATAAAGAAAAGGAATGCATACATGTCGAGCAAAATAAGCTGTACAAAAAATGTACAATATGTGAAAGTAATATTTTTCCCATCAATGTTTACTTACTTGTACCAACAGTGGGCCACAGAGAGCACCCACTGGTTGTTGATCAGCACCCCTCCACAGAAGTGGTACCCGTAGTTGAGGGAGGCCATGTATGGACGAGAGTGAGGCGAACACTCATAACCGCCAATGATCCTGCCATCTTCACGGGGAACTGCAGCTGCAGCACACACACACACACACACACACACACACACACACACACACACACACACACACACACACACACACACACACACACACACACACACACACACACACACACACACACACACACACAAACAGAGAAAGAGATACATTTGTGTTTTAAAGTTATCTTCAACCACAACCATTCATCTTATTTCTTAAATATCTTACACTACAGTATGTTTTCTATGTACTGTTTACTGTTTGTGTGTGTATCTTTGTGAATATGTGTATTACTGTGTATTTACCAGCAGCTCCGATCAGCAGCAGCAGAGCCAGCAGTGTCATGGTGTCAGGTGAATGCTCAGAAGACACCTCCACACACACCTCGGCTCAAATTTATATCCCAGCAGCCCCGCTGTGCTCGTCCCATCCCCTCACCTCACCTGACCGCCCCCCCGTCTCCTCCTCTCCTTTCCTCTCCTCCCTATTTCTCTGGACCCTATCTGTGTCCTCACAGTCTTGGCACTCACTTTGAACCCAAATACACTTTCTTATCACACTCCTCATTTTGTGTTTGCCCACTTCGGCCCAATCGTAGCGCAACACTCTGTGGTTATATCATCTGTGCCCCTTATTTAAAATGTGGACCAAGGTCTCCAAACATGAAACACCTGCTTTTGGTTCCTCATGGGTCACTCATTTTTGGCAGGCTACAATATCAAACAGTGAAAACTGTTATATAACCGTCTTTTAGCTCTTGGCCCATATAGCAGGAACAAATATGTCCTTGGGTAAAAGCCAGAGAGGTGAGAAATAAATCATCTGTTGTCGCTGAAACCTAAAACAACCTGTTTTTCTGTTTCTGTGTCAGACAGCATCAACAACACCCTTTAAGCTTAAACATTTTGTGCTTTTGTAGATCCACGTCGTTGAGCTGTAAATTGTAATGCACATGCAATGATGGTAACTGGACAGACTGAATATGGAAAAACAGACACATATTGTTGAAATTGCCCCAACAGTATAACCTCAGGCTGTTTATCATCTGTTTTGCAAAGGCATTTATTTTTGACCATTTTCAGAATGCTAATGCACTTCTTTAGGCCTTCACTAAAATAAGGGGAAGCATTTGGAGGTGTTGTTATTTATCATGCAATGGTTTTACTCGTCAAGGCCACAAAATAAAATTGCGATGAATGTGGCACGTGAACAAAAAAGTGTTTAACAATGCTGATCTCTGCTCTTATGTTCCACCATTATGAAATAAATGTTACACACCACCTACTCAAAAATAGCCCCATTTATATAGGAGGTAGGTGCAGAAAATGATCTGTCAAAAATAGAGTATGGAAAGCAGCAGTCTGCAAGGCCAAAACTATGCAAGATGTGGCTCACTTATTAACTGAACAGATGAACGTGGCACATAAGAAGATACGGTTATTTTTCAGGGATTTGGGTGGGAGGAAAAACCAGGGGGGGAGGTGGGTAGAATTGGGTGGAGGTATGGAGGAGTGGAGTAGGAGGGACATTATTGACAGATGCAGAGGAGTTTAGGTATAAATTGAGTGAGTGACAGATCTTTCACCTCCAGTCTGGTCGCAGGAAGGCTTGAGTAATGATGATTGGCCTGATTGTTCTCGCACTCCTGGGCGCTGCAGGTAAAGCACATCTGCACAACCATTTTAGAATAAGTAAGACTATTCACTTTGATAAATATATGGATTATTGTTATTGCTAAACACCACAGCTGCAGCACCTATGGATGACAAGATTGTGGGTGGATTCCAGTGTACAGCCCACTCTCAGCCCTGGCAGGTGTCTATCAATCTCGGCTACCACTTCTGCGGCGGCTCCCTCATCAACGACCAGTGGATCGTCTCTGCTGCCCACTGCTGGCAAAAGTCGGTGTTGTCAGAATCAGACATCCTTTATTCGTCCCACAGCGGGGAGATGTACAGTGTTAGGGCAAAGGGACTGTGCAGACAAAAGGCAAACATAGGATTAGTAGAGTAACATATTAAATAGAGAGGCGTTAATAAAAGGATATCAAATGAGTAAACATCCATGGAACAAAAATACGTAGCAGCATTATAAAAAAGTAATAGTAGTAAATAGGTAGCAGCAATGGACAACATTTATAGTGTGTAAAATGTAAAAAGAGTGTATATTGCACATAGCACAATCATCCCTTTAACAGTAGTGAAATAGTCTGAGGTAGTGAGGTGGCGTACAATAGTAAATATTGCATATAAGTGTTATTGCAGAGCAGTGTGTTAGAGTCCGTATAATTGAGTGACTGTACAGTCTGACCGTTGCAGGAAGTATTTATATTAACATATACACATTTGTTTGTATGTTCTGTGTGTTAAAGAAACTATGCTAATGTTGTTCTGTGTGTCTTCTGGGCTAAAGCCCTTACTCACTGATTGCCATTTTGGGTGACAACCACATCTGGATGAACGAGGGCACGGAGCAGTTCATGTCCGTGGACGCCATCTACTGGCATCAGAGCTACGACTACCAGACCCTGGACTACGACATCATGCTGATGAAGCTGGCGCACCCCGTCACCGTGAACCAGTACGTGAAGCCTGTCGCTCTGCCCAAAGCCTGCCCTGCAGCCGGGGACATGTGCATGGTGTCCGGATGGGGAAACATCTACACTGATCAAGGTGAGGTGTGCCTGATCGTCCCATTAAAGGTCATCAATATGTCATGGTACAATCATTTTCATTCTTTTGTGATCCTATTGTTTGTCTTTGCTGTGGTTGACATTACTAGAAGAAAAAAAAGGGTAAAATATTGCACTCATGGCCTTCCATTGATTTAATACGTATTATAAGAAAAAAGCCTTTAACAAACCATTAAGTATTAATAAACAGTAGTTTCTGAACTGCTGTTATTAACTAAAACGTACTTAAAGTGGACTTCCTCACCTGCAACCAACAACCATATCTACTGTCACAAAAAACTCTCAAACTTTTATGAAATAGAAAATATATCAGGCACAAAGACACGATGAAAAAAGATAACAGTTGGCAATCATCTAATGCTTAAGATTGTCTCATAAGAATGTATTTGAGAGCAAACGTGATGTATACAGTTTGCTTGATGGCAAACAGAATATTGTAGCTCACCCTATGATGAGAGGAAACATTAAAGCACATTTCCCTACCGTTCAAAAGGATTCGACAAGCTTTTATAATGGCTGCTGGATCCTTTCCCTCAGTTAGGAACCATCCTAAAAAGCGAGTGAAGCCAGTTTAATGTTGGCAATGCACTTGATGGCTACATACTGCATGAAATTACTATATATTCAAAATCCAAAGCCAAACATGTCATAGCTAGTTATGGTTACTGTAGTATGATAGCACTTATTTAAATCTAATAGATGGTGATGTTGGCCATTACGGTACACATATTTACAGAAAACATGTAATTTGATAAATCAAGCTGGAAAAAAGTGATGCTATATACAGTACAATCAATAAATGCATGTTTCTGATAGTCTGGAGTCACTAATACCACGGTGCATTTTAACACATGATATAAGGCTGAATTGGGGTGTTTTTTGTGTCCCTCCTAATCATGTTGTCTCGCTCTTATCTGCAGTGTTCAACCCATTTTACCTCCAGTGTGTGGAAATCCCCATCCTTTCTCACAAGGACTGCGATGGCTCCTACCCCGGCATGATCACTGACCGCATGGTGTGCGCTGGATACCTGGAGGGAGGAAAGGATTCTTGTCAGGTATTTTCAAACAATTACACAGCACATACAATGAGGTTATATTGAATGAGGTGGAGGGAATAAAGTGATGTCTCTCTCCTGCTCAGGGTGACTCTGGTGGTCCTCTGGTGTGTAACGGAGAGCTGCAGGGTGTCGTGTCCTGGGGCCAGGGCTGCGCTCAACCCAACTACCCGGGCGTTTACACCAAAGTCTGCTCTCTGACGCCCTGGATCAACGATATTCTCTCCACATACTCCTAGACTGTGATCTCCCATCACAGAACTACAGGAGTGGGGAAATCAGAGGGAGATTGAAATTGAAGGAGACAGGAGGCGGCGGTGGGAAGTGTCGAAGAGAGAGGCAGCGGAAGAGAGGCTGAGAGTGAGACACAAGGAGAAGCCGAGGGAGAAAGAAAACAACATGTGAGATGTGAGATGTCAAGGCTCAATCAATAAAACATTGAACATTTTTTGATGCAACAGTGTGTTTCTTATTGTCTATCTGCTCCCAATGTAGATATACTGTTTTATGAGTACTGGATTTCAATTCAGGGGTGACATTTCCAACAAAAAACAAATATAAACCACAGTCAAACAAGAGCAGCTAATGTCAATAAACAGAAACCTTTCACAAAATTGCATTAGCTTGAGGGCAAATTAAGTGGCAACCCTTGGTTTTGAAAAGATAAGCTAACAAAAGTATATTACAGTTTTTCTCGATTGCTAACACACATTTCTTTTTTAATTGCTCAGTTTCTCAGAACACTAAACACAATTCACAAAACTACACACCCAAAGTGCACAATTCCTCATTTCTCCTGCTAAATGAAGAACTGCACTCAAAACTACATAAACACTTTCCAAATGCAAACTTTTGCACCAAATAGAACACACTTCATTCATAATACTAGATGGTCTGACCACCCAACTACACACTGCTGAGCATACTCTAAAGCACTTTCATCTGTTATGGGCTATGCTCTGTACATAGAGGCTTCTGAAATGTCGACCTACGTCCCGTTCAAATGAAATCGCCACCATTCATATTTCCACGCTCGCGCCAGGGCCAGGGGAGGGGTTACAAGACTCGCGTCTTGTGCTGCATTCACTTGCATTCGGACATTAGAAATGTTCTCTCATAAATGTCCGATGAGCCACAACTTTTCTTTCAAAACAAAGCGGGGGAGTTAATTCAAAACTGTTGAGTAAAATGTTTTACACGAACTATGGAGAAATGTCACCAACATTTAAAAAAACATTATTAATAAATAAATTGCCTACATTTAGGGTGGCAACTAGGGTGGCAAGGCATTTTTCTGAGGTGGCAGCTGCCACCCCGTACCACCCCGCAGAACCGCCACTGGTCGGTTGGTCAGTTGGTCAGTTGGTCAGTTGGTCAGTTGGTCAGTTGGTCGATTGATCGGTTGGTCGGTCGATCAGATGGAGTCAGTTGGAGTCAGATGGCCGTGTCTCAATTCAGGCGCTGCATCCTTCCGAGGACCCAGCCTACGCAGTCGACGCAGGATGCGGCCGACGTAGACCGCGTAGGCTGGAGCGAGCAGCCTGCAAAATGAGACAGTCTACGTCTTTACGTCACCTGCCCCTATATTTTGCCGCATCTGTTGCCTAGCAACCAGTTCTTTTGAAGACAGAATTATTTTGAAGTTCTTTTGAAGACAGAAAGGATGGAGAACGAACTTGCCAGAGAAGTGACTTTGCTGCTATTAATTATGTTCATGGAACATGTGGTTCAAAGAACAAAGTACAGGCGAGTACTGTACTTTAGATTAAGAGGAGACCATTTCCAGGTAAGAAAAATATAGCTTAAACCCTGTAATTTATTGTTAATATTGGCTTCAGAAAACTATAGTCAAGTATGCTAACTGTAGTTCCATTTCATTTTGACATTTAATACATGTTTAAAATGCCATTAATAAGATTCATAATGTGGAATAACCTCAGCTATGTATCTAATATATTATATATAATGTGGAACTAACCCACTAAAATACATGATTGGTCCCATCTCACCATGTTCAAATCACATATCACTGCTTTATTGTCAATAAAGTTGTGTTTTATGTATTTAAAGTGGGTTGGTTTAATGATGTCTTGTGAATTTTGACTCTTTAAAGTGTTGAGTGTGTTAAAACGCTTTACAAATAATATGTATTATTTTAGATATAACATATTATATACACTGACGAATAAGCAATTTACACAGAATTCTCTATTGCCCTTTTTCCTCCACCTTTTCTTATAGCCAAGACCCCTGTACTGCAGGATGAATCTGACCGTCCCTGTCCTGGACAGGTTCTTTCATGACCAGGACACACGGCCAGACAGGAGGTCTGATGGAGGGCCTCTATCCTAATACCTCATCCATTTGGACAAACCATGGCCTAGATGCAGCGGTGGGTTTCCCACTGACTCCCTCTCCTGACCCTGGGTACTTGCAATCCTAAAGCAGAGTAAAACAATCATGGCAGTAAAAGAACAGCAGCAGCTAAACTAATATCGGCAAATGTGTTTATTAATTTGACACACACACACACACACACACACACACACACACACACACACACACACACACACACACACACACACACACACACACACACACATACGTTATACTTCTTAAGGTTGTCCCACTTTTTCTTCGCTTGCAAGGGAGTCACCTTCCCCTGCAGGCCCATTTCTTCCAAAATCTTCCTACTCACAGAAATAATAGAAGAAGAAATTAACTATTATGAATAACAATAACTCAAAAATGCTAAATTTGGAAAAACTGACATTGCAAGACACACACAAATAATTAATAAAACATTGAATTAATGCTCAAAAGGCTGAGACATCACTAGAGAAAAATACAATGAAGAAACATTGGGTATTGCTGCATTTAGTTGTTGTTTTCTTGGGAGGGGTTTTTATAAAATGAGGGATAATTGATAAGAGTAGGAATGATACAATTGGTATATTGTGCCTTACCTCCATCCAAGGATGGCCGTATGTTTGGCCCCTGTGAAGAGGGTGTCATTTCCCCCCCTCAGCTTTATAAAGAGCTCCGTCTGTTCTTTGCTCCCTAAAACAAAAAGCAATTGTAAGCAGATGAAAAGCTATACCTTTGGGTTTAATTTGTGTGTCGTTAAGTATTTGAGTGGGATGAAACAATTTACTCACATTTCAAAACAAAATCACGCTACTGCCTCGGTTGGGACGGTTGACGCAATTTTCTGAAAAAACGTAACTCGTCACAAGCGCACATTATATCCTGGGATATGCTAGGCCGCGGAGGATTCATCAGATGTATCCTTCAAATTGGGGAAAAGTAGGCCGCATTTGTGGGCCACATTCGGAGGACTCTCGTCTTTTTTAAAAATTGGGACACCCTTCTTTCGGTAGAAGTGACGTATGTGGTCTACAAATGCAGCCTCCGAAGGGTGCAGCCCCTGAATTGAGACACGGCCATGGAGTCAGGTGGAGTCAGATGGAGTCAGGTGGAGTCAGGTGGAGTCAGTTGGAGTCAGATGGAGTCAGTTGGAGTCAGTTGGAGTGTCTGTAGTTTCAGGTAGCTTTGGTCTCCAGGAAACAGAGGATGAAGAAGAGGAAGACGGTCCTGATGAAGACTGAGGTCAGAGTTCAGGTGGAGAGGGGCGGAGCCAGACGCTCCTTCAGAGGAGCCCTGCACAGGTGAGAGGAGACTTCAGTACCAACGATGGACAAACAATAACGGGATGTGAACGTGTGAAGTCACCATGAGCTCTGGTTGTACATGCATCTGATATTTGTCTTCAGCTATAGTCAAAATCTATTAATCTCTGTTAATGCTTTAATAGTTTATTTAACGTAAAAGCAGTGCCACAACACAGCTCTATTTCATCACGTTCTCAAGTTAAGAACTGCGTTTTTTATTTAAATCTGCCACCGTTTACTGACAGACTATAAAACATTTAAATATTCACAACATGATTAAAAGTATACATTATCATGTTCATAATTAATATAATATTTAAAAACATGCATCATGAATAATAGAAATAGAAGAATGAATACATGAATGAACGTGAAACAAAGAATAAATATAAGTTCAGATGTTTTCTGTTACAGACGGACATCCCGCGGCAAAACAGAAGCCGAGAAGGGGGACTCGGGCGGACGGCCCGGGGGAACAGCAGAAGCCGAGAAGGGGGACTCGGGTGAACGGCCCGGGGGCAAGGCAGAGTTCGTGGTGGGGGTCTCAGGCGGACGGCCCGGGGGCAAGGCAGAAGCCGAGAAGGGGGACTCGGGCGGACGGCCCGAGGGAAAGGCAGAGTCCATGGTGGGGGTCTCGGGCGGACGGCCCGGGGGCAAGGCAGAGTCCATGGTGGGGGTCTCGGGCGGACGGCCCAGGGTCAAGGAAGAGTTCAAAAAGGGGCGAAGGCTACAGCGGGCGAACTCAGGGGGCCGGGCATGAGGGCGAAGGCAGCGGCTGGAAGAGTCAGGGGGCCGGGCCCGAGGGCGAGGACCGCGGCCGGGAAAGTCAGGGGGCCGGGCTCGAGGGCGAAGACCGCGGCACTCAGGGGGCCGGGCTCGAAGATGGGCAGGAGCAGGTGGAACCCCTGGCAGGTCAGACGTAGACGAGACCCTGGACGGAACCTGGGCTGGTGTCAGTGGGACCCACGACGGAGCAAGGGCTGGTGTTGATGGGACCCGAAACAGGACAGGACACGGTGTTGGCAGGAAACCCGGCGGAGCAGGCGTCAACGGAACCCCCAACAGAACAGGACATGGAGTTGGCAGGACCCCCGGCAGAAGAGTAGTCGGCGGGGCCTCTAACGGCACAGGCCAAGGGTTGGCAGGACCCCCGGCAGAAGAGCAGTCGGCGGGACCCCCAACGGGACAGGGCATAGGGTTGGCAGGACCCCCGGCAGAAGAGCAGTCGGCGAGACCCCCAACGGGACAGGACATGGAGTTGGCAGGAACCCCAGCAGAACCTCCAACGGCACAGGACATAGGGTTGGCAGAACCCCCGGCAGAAGAGTTGTCGGCGGGAACCCCAACGGGACAGGACATAGGGTTGGCAGGACCCCCGGCAGAAGAGTAGTCGGCGGGACCCCCAACGGGACATAGGGTTGGCAGGACCCCCAGTGGAACCTCCAACGGCACAGGACATAGGGTTGGCAGGACCCCCGGCAGAAGAGTAGTCGGCGGGGCCTCCAACGGCACAGGACACAGGGTTGGCAGGACCTCCGGCAGAAGAGAAGTCGGCGGGACCCCCAACGGGACAGGACATAGCGTTGGCAGCAGTGGTGTAGTCTACTTTTTTGTAGTGGGTATACTGTAATAATTATATTCATCCATCCTAGAGCGACACATCGCGGAGCGACACCTGTCTCGA